CTCTCTCTGGTCTCTCTCTGGTCTCTCTCTGGTCTCTCTCTGGTCTCTCTCTGGTCTCTCTCTGGTCTCTCTCTGGTCTCTCTCTGGTCTCTCTTTGGTCTCTCTCTGGTCTCTCTCTGGTCTCTCTCTGGTCTCTCTCTGGTCTCTCTCTGGTCTATCTCCGGTCTCTCTCTGGTCTCTCTCTCTGGTCTCTCTCTGGTCTCTCTCTGGTCTCTCTCTCTGGTCTCTCTCTGGTCTCTCTCTGGTCTCTCTCTGGTCTCTCTCTGGTCTCTCTCTGGTCTCTCTCTGGTCTCTCTCTCTGGTCTCTCTCTGGTCTCTCTCTGGTCTCTCTCTGGTCTCTCTATGGTCTTTCTCTGGTCTCTCTCTGGTCTCTCTCTGGTCTCTCTCTGGTCTCTCTCTGGTCTCTCTCTGGTCTCTCTCTGGTCTCTCTCTGGTCTCTCTCTGGTCTCTCTCTCTGGTCTCTCTCTGGTCTCCGTCTGGTCTCTCTCTGGTCTCTCTCTGGTCTCTCTCTGGTCTCTCTCTGGTCTCTCTCTGGTCTCTCTCTGGTCTTCCTCTGGTCTCTCTCTGGTCTCTCTCTGGTCTCTCTCTGGTCTCTCTCTGGTCTCTCTCTGGTCTCTCTCTGGTCTTCCTCTGGTCTCTCTCTGGTCTCTCTCTGGTCTCTCTCTGGTCTCTCTCTCTGGTCTCTCTCTGGTCTCTCTCTGGTCTCTCTCTGGTCTCTCTCTCTGGTCTTTCTCTGGTCTCTCTCTGGTCTTTCTCTGGTCTCTCTCTGGTCTCTCTCTGGTCTCTCTCTGGTCTCTCTCTGGTCTCTCTTTCTGGTCTCTCTCTGGTCTCTCTCTGGTCTCTCTCTGGTCTCTCTCTGGTCTCTCTCTCTGGTCTCTCTCTGGTCTCTCTCTGGTCTCTCTCTGGTCTCTCTCTGGTCTCTCTCTGGTCTCTCTCTGGTCTCTCTCTGGTCTCTCTTTGGTCTCTCTCTGGTCTCTCTCTCTGGTCTATCTCTGGTCTCTCTCTGGTCTCTCTCTGGTCTCTCTCTGGTCTCTCTCTGGTCTCTCTCTCTGGTCTCTCTCTGGTCTCTCTCTCCGGTCTATCTCCGGTCTCTCTCTGGTCTCTCTCTCTGGTCTCTCTCTGGTCTCTCTCTGGTCTCTCTCTCTGGTCTCTCTCTGGTCTCTCTCTGGTCTCTCTCTGGTCTCTCTCTGGTCTCTCTCTGGTCTCTCTCTCTGGTCTCTCTCTGGTCTCTCTCTGGTCTCTCTCTGGTCTCTCTCTGGTCTCTCTCTGGTCTCTCTCTCTGGTCTTCCTCTGGTCTCTCTCTGGTCTCTCTCTGGTCTCTCTCTGGTCTCTCTCTCTGGTCTCTCTCTGGTCTCTCTCTGGTCTCTCTCTGGTCTCTCTCTAGTCTCTCTCTGTGGTCTCTCTCTGGTCTCTCTCTGGTCTCTCTCTGGTCTCTCTCTGGTCTCTCTCTGGTCTCTCTCTGGTCTCTCTCTGGTCTCTCTCTGGTCTCTCTCTGTGGTCTCTCTCTGGTCTCTCTCTGGTCTCTCTCTGGTCTCTCTCTGGTCTCTCTCTGGTCTCTCTCTAGTCTCTCTCTGTGGTCTCTCTCTGGTCTCTCTCTGGTCTCTCTCTGGTCTCTCTCTGGTCTCTCTCTCTAGTCTCTCTCTGTGGTCTCTCTCTGGTCTCTCTCTGGTCTCTCTCTGGTCTCTCTCTGGTCTCACTCTGGTCTCTCTCTGGTCTCTCTCTGGTCTCTCTCTGGTCTCTCTCTGGTCTCTCTCTGGTCTCTCTCTGGTCTCTCTCTCTGGTCTCTCTCTCTGGTCTCTCTCTGGTCTCTCTCTGGTCTCTCTCTGGTCTCTCTCTCTGGTCTCTCTCTGGTCTCACTCTGGTCTCTCTCTCTGGTCTCTCTCTGGTCTCTCTCTGGTCTCTCTCTCTGGTCTCTCTCTGGTCTCTCTCTGGTCTCTCTCTGGTCTCTCTCTGGTCTCTCTCTGGTCTCTCTCTGGTCTCTCTCTGGTCTTTCTCTGGTCTCTCTCTGGTCTTTCTCTGGTCTCTCTCTGGTCTCTCTCTGGTCTCTCACTGGTCTCTCTCTGGTCTCTCTCTCTGGTCTTCCTCTGGTCTCTCTCTGGTCTCTCTCTGGTCTCTCTCTGGTCTCTCTCTGGTCTCTCTCTGGTCTTCCTCTGGTCTCTCTCTGGTCTCTCTCTGGTCTCTCTCTCTGGTCTCTCTCTGGTCTCTCTCTGGTCTCTCTCTGGTCTCTCTCTAGTCTCTCTCTGTGGTCTCTCTCTGGTCTCTCTCTGGTCTCTCTCTGGTCTCTCTCTGGTCTCTCTCTGGTCTCTCTCTCTGGTCTCTCTCTGGTCTCTCTCTGGTCTCTCTCTGGTCTCTCTCTGGTCTCTCTCTGGTCTCTCTCTGGTCTCTCTCTAGTCTCTCTCTGTGGTCTCTCTCTGGTCTCTCTCTGGTCTCTCTCTGGTCTCTCTCTGGTCTCTCTGTGGTCTCTCTCTGTGGTCTCTCTCTGGTCTCTCTCTGGTCTCTCTCTGGTCTCTCTCTGGTCTCTCTCTGGTCTCTCTCTGTGGTCTCTCTCTGGTCTCTCTCTGGTCTCTCTCTGGTCTCTCTCTGGTCTCTCTCTGGTCTCTCTCTGGTCTCTCTCTGGTCTCTCTCTGGTCTCTCTCTGGTCTCTCTCTGGTCTCTCTCTGGTCTCTCTCTGGTCTCTCTCTGTGGTCTCTCTCTGGTCTCTCTCTGGTCTCTCTCTGGTCTCTCTCTGTGGTCTCTCTCTGGTCTCTCTCTGGTCTCTCTCTGGTCTCTCTCTGGTCTCTCTCTGGTCTCTCTCTCTGGTCTCTCTCTGGTCTCTCTCTGGTCTCTCTCTGGTCTCTCTCTCTGGTCTCTCTCTGGTCTCTCTCTGGTCTCTCTCTGGTCTCTCTCTAGTCTCTCTCTGTGGTCTCTCTCTGGTCTCTCTCTGGTCTCTCTCTGTGGTCTCTCTCTGGTCTCTCTCTCTGGTCTCTCTCTGGTCTCTCTCTGGTCTCTCTCTCTGGTCTCTCTCTGGTCTCTCTCTGGTCTCTCTGGTCTCTCTCTTCTTTGCCTCATGGCGTCTGCAGCTCTATTATACACTATACGCACGGCTTCTGACATAATGTCCACTGAAAACGGTTTGGCGGGCCGGATTTGACCCACAGACCAGAACCATCTCGGATTAGATGCTTCCCTGTAAATTTGCTTTTTCACTTTGATTTCATGTCTGTCCATCCTCTCTCCACCTCAGTCTCATCTAACGTCACGGCCCGTTATCCTCGTTTGTCTGGGAGCTTTTTGTGTGTTTATCTATAAATAGGTGTGTAGGGGGTGTAGGGGTCCGGCTCGGCTCGCGGCCTGCAGACAGGTGTCCGAGATCGCATTTCCCCAGTGAAGGATCAGAGCCTGTCACTCGGCCGCTCTCACATCAACCTCCAACAATTAGACGGACTCCTGCTTTTACGACACGCGTGGATCACGGAGACATTCTAGATCCTTCTGTGGAAGCGGGAGGATCTAAGGACAGTGAAGATCCAGGACATTTAGGGACATATTGGTCATACAGCTTCCTATGGACGCTGTATGATAATAATGACGCCTTCTTTATTATGCTAAAGCTATATTTTATGCTAGCTTCTTTATTATGCTAAAGCTAGAGATTGTATACTTGCTTCTTTAATATGCTTAAGTTAGAGATTTTTTACTAGCTTATTTAATTATGCTAACGCTAGGTTTTAGACTTTCTTCTTTATCATGCTAAAGCTAGATTTCATCCTAGTTTTTGTTGTTGTTGCTAAAGCTAGATTCCATACTTTGTCTTAATTATGCTAAAGTTAGAGATTTTATTTTAGTTTAGTATAAAGTTATTGTTTATCTATCTCGTGCTGTGTGCTCCTCATTCCGTGTGTTCTGTAACTGCTGATGCAACACTGACATTTCCCCACTGTGGGACCAATAACACTGCGTTTTCTGATCTCTCGTTGGCGAATCTCTCTGCAAGCAGCAAAAATGTTCATGTATTCCATGGTCCTATCGCACATAACCTACTGTTTAACAACTTGGTCTCAAGCAAATAAAACAACACTAAAGCCCTTAGAGTCACTTTACAAACGGACAATAAAAATTCTGGACAAAAAACCAATGAGGTATCATCACTGCAATATCCTTCAAAAGCACCAGCTGGGAAAATCTCATCAAACCTCTGCCTCATACATAAAATAATCCACAACCAATCATCTCCCCCACTCAGTCATCAGCATTATTTACAGCGGTGACTAGAGGAGCAGCTCGAGGAGACTGCATAGTTCCATTTAGGAAAAGTGCCTTTAGTCAGAACACCTTTTCTGTAACTGCAGCCAAAGACTGGAACTCCATCCCAGCTAACATAAGAGATCTGTCCACTAACATACTGTTTAAAAAACATTTAAAGAACTGGTTCATTACTCAACAGTCTTGCAGTCATTAACCCTGTCTGTATTATGAATCTTATTGTTTGCACTGTTTGTATTTGTATATAACCTGTATAGTGTAGTGACTGTGTCCTACTTTGTATTTTATTGCACTGACCGTAATGTTTTTATTGTTTTTATTGTCTTAGGGAGACTTTTTACATCTGTCCAGGACTACGGATGAAAAATAGCCTTTTGGCTAATTCCGGTGCATTTACAGAAATGTTGATTAATGTACACTGTGTAAGTCCCTGTCGGAATAAAGCTAAATCGAGAATAAAAT